GACCAACTGATGACTGTTGAGAAATCTAAGGACTCCGTTGGATCAGAAGCTTCCTAGACAACCAAACTTCGCCTCGCGCATTCACGTGCACACGCTTCACCGCCAAGCTGCCATCTTGGCACTTGAATGGCGATTTGCACAAGATCGATAACCCTCACCCATTCGAATTCACCTCAGTCAGTTATTATGACGCTGCAAACAATGCGCGGACTATGCCTGCAAATTCTGGTCTTACGTGCATTTATTCAAATCATTTGTGAGATGATTTCAATGCCCTGGATTTGCTGCGCCCCGAATGTTATTTTTTACCTGTTACTTGGTAAGTGCTTGCATTATATCACTTCATGCACCTCGTGATTTCATTTAAATCACTGCTCACTGCAATGCTGCCTTTCATCTTTCCGACTTCTCCAGGCTTATAATAATTATGCGAGTATATGCAGACAGGATTATAGTCTAACAGACACATCACATCGCCTTACTTGTAGGCATCGTCCTTTCTCCCACATCGTTGTTCGTCATTATGTTTTCGTTGTTCCATCTGCATGAAGTGCATCGTTGCTGCACGAATCTCTGTGAAGGGAAGATGTCTTGTCTCCTTGCAAATCCTTTCAGCAATGTGCGTACAATGAATGATTGCAGAGTGCAGCAGTATGATGTTCTGCCATCCGCGGTTGGCGTCGAGTCGTTAGTCTGAAGGAATGCGGGATGTGGCGACGCGGAGCAGGAGGAGGAAGCAGCTGAATTTGTGGGAGGAATAGAGAGTGGTTTGGTAGGACAAGATGAGACGGAGCAATCAGGCCATGGTAAGTGCATTAACTACTTGCACTACCCAGTCTGTCCGCTGCGCACCCGTCACCTACTACCTAAACCCGTCTTTTTTACTTTGAAATAGATAAGACCATGCAGTACACTAAACTGCAGTCAAGAAAGCTCAAGTTTGTTCCAGAGCTCATTAGAATCGAGGAGGTTTCGGAGGAGGAGGAGGAGGAGGAGGAGGAGGAGGAGGAGGAGTGCGAGGAGGATGATGAGGACGACAGCACAAATGACAAAAACGGCGTATATGCAGAGGTGATGGAGAAGGACCAGCAGCAGAAAGTGCACGCTGGCGGAGACGCGGACTGTTTTGCTATCGCCTCAGAAGTAAATGGCGGAAACTGTGAGGTGTGTACCGTAGTGGCAGATGGAGACAAAGAAGTGATTCCCGCGTCATCTGCCGGAAGACGGCGGCCTCCACGATAGAGGTTCGTTGACATGTCGTCGTGTATGTCTACAACTACTTTACTGCCATTTTACTTCTTTAGCCCAACGTTTCCCTTATGACATACCCACCTCTCCTTTCCTTCACTCTTCTCGTGTTAGAAGCCTATGCATTGTTGGATTGCAGAGGTCGAAATCCCATTTACACATGGTTTTTCTGTGAAATTGGCAACAGTAACTAGAGAAATAAGAGGAATCGTTTGAGGGTGTTGGAGCAACGTGCTCTCTATCTTGTGAAAACTCGTAATTTTATGTGAAATCTAGTTTTCTTCGTTCGCGCCTAGCTGGTGGGCCATAACTACAGTTAATCTCAGGACTACTCCACCAGGCATCTCGTGGCCATTCTACCTTAGTGTCATCCTACCTTCTGCTTCATTTCATCTAGATTTGAGAGGACAATTTTGTGCAGCTTCAGGATTTGCTGCTGAATGATCGCCTTTCAACAGACAGCCAACCGGCTTAATTTGTATTTGTCAGCTGGCTGACGATGCACATGTTACATGTTATATGGTCCTCATGTCCCAGTTCACCGTCGAATGGCGGCACGACTTAAAGGATTTGGTGAGCGCGTTAAGGCAAAATGCTGTAAGACGCTGCCCAAAGACAGTTGGTTCATGCGGTAGGGAGCATACTACGCGTGAGATGCATGATACGTCATGTCTCTGCGGTCAAACGACCGCTCACTGAAGTGGAGGCAATTGGCTGACACACGTTCCTCTGTTACAACATTGGCATATTAGTGAAGAAGATGAAACCGAGTACAGGATTATATGTAGTCCTGGCTGTGCTCATCTAGGGCGCGGGGAGTTAAAAATTCCATGGCAGATTTTTGGAAAAATTATTCTGATGCGACACGAATTCTGTGGGCGATTTGGGCAATGGATTTGTAAGATGCGATTGCGAACAATTAGATCTTGTATATGACGTGTATGTCATGAAGAGCAGCTCTGGGAGTGGGCGGCTATAGTTTCTTTGCACTATCAGATGCATTTGCATGTGAAGCAGCTGTTTGGAAGAAAATATGAGATGACTCTGTATGTTAGATAGCGGAACACGCAATGATAATTGGGTCGACGAGGATAATGATGAAGAGGATTGTCCAGACGGACGAGACGCATCCATGCGCTTAGTCTAGACCACCAGCCTTAACACGCCAGTTTAACATTCTGCAGTTGCAACCTTAAGTGTTGCGAGAAGGTGGGGTTCGTGTATAGCTTTTGGAAATTAAAAGAGCATTGACTAAAATAAATTATTTTCATTAACAGTGCACTGTTTCGATAAATCTAATGTTCGCGTTTATTGCGCATCCAGAAAGACGAGTATTTTGGAATTCCAGTTCCAAAGGAAATGCTTTGAACCTTGATTACAACACGAAGAGTCGGGCACATGCAAGACCCTTCTACGCCCATGAGTCACGATTTGCCAGGGCTGTTGAAATGTCGCGTCGGTAGGACGGGAAAGAATACAGCCTTCATAGCACACAATGTCACTAGTAAATGTTACGGTAATTTACGTGCAGTCAATTATTTTTATGCTGACCAACCAATGTGAGATTGGGTAACAACACTTGCGTCTTCTGTGGAATATCAGTGTACAATTTCAGATGCGTCGTATCTAGTGCGTAGTGTCTAAATACGTGACTTGCGTTTCTCATTTGTCACCTTGCTACAGACTAGTGAAGTTGACGAAAATACAGGCAGTGGAGCATTGGGAAACATTTATGACCAGGTTTCAGAGTACTTCCAGCCGGCAGTCCTTGGTGCCTATCCGGCGCACAGTTGAGAATATCGAGCTGTTCCTGTGGTGTACGCAGATGAACTCCATTGAGGAAGAGTCGGCCGAGGTTAATTAATTCACAGCAGTTGAATGCTCTTCTGTTGATATGCGTAGCAGCTCCGTGGGTTATCATGTAAGTCGATGCATGCATAATTTGAGGAATCTTATGACATTAAGCTAAAATTCCTAATCAGTTTCCGATTACATTGGACTATTATGTAATTTTGGCTATCCGTCAGCATCATCCCAGCTACTTGATTTACGCCGGATTTTGAGTGCACTTTCATTCCGTCGCTGACAATAAATACACAACATATAATGTGATCGTTTACACAGGACGCTTCTTACTTCAAATGTCTCTTTGTTCAAATATATTCATAGTTAGCATCTACAAAACCACTATTATTAGTATCAAAGCGTAGGTGTCTTACATGCTCTTCAAGTATTTTCTTAAGGCATTCTGGCAGATTTCGGTTTTAAAACAGTTTTCAATGCAATAACAATTATGTACCCGATCTGACGTCGCAAATAAATTTATGCAATGGATTATGACCACACAATGTAGTGGATAAGAAGCAATAATAAACGGAGAGATGTGATGGTAGTTGGGTGGGCATTTCGCAGTCTTAGTAATCTTCTAAGTTCGAACTTGATTAGACTGGAAACCAGTCTTTCTTTAAGTAGGCTATTATGTTTCCAATGGTAGATGAGTGGGCAATTGGTGCGAGGGAAATTGAAGATGGATCTGGATAGTTGCGTTTACCTGAAAATTCGCATGCGTGCATATATGACTGCAATGTTGGTAGGTAAGCCCCGTGTGACGGGTATATGTTGAGAGCATTGGCGCTTGAAGAAGGAGACACGATCGCTGGGACAAGAACTTTATTAGCCTGAAGTTTCGGATTCCTGCTGGAACTAGCCCTGGTTGGGCGGTTTCAGCGAAATGCTTGACACACAATCGACTAGACCAATAAATGGCGTGAATGCGTGAACGAAGGTAGTGTAGGTTGGTACTAAGTTGAAATTGGTGTTGCTTGGCAGGGCGTAGAAACGTGTACACTGTTGGTGATGATGTTGATGGTAATGGCGGTGTTGGTTGTGTTGATGGTAATGTTGGCGGTGACGATTTTAATTGTGATGGTGTTGTTGGTGTTGTTGCTTTTGGTGGTGGTGGTGGTGGTAATGTTGGTGTTGTTGTTGTCGTTGTTGGTGGTGGTCTTGGTGTTGGTTGTGGTGATGGTTTTGATGGAAATGGTGGTAGGAGTGACGAGACGAGTCCCAGGAAGTAGTCTTGCAGAAGGAGACACGATCGCTAGGACGAGAGCTTTATTACACTTACGTTTCAGATTCCTGCTCGAACCCATCATCAGAGACGACAGCAGATACGGGTGATTCATGCACCAGGGTCTGCAGTATTTATAGGATGCAGTCGCCATGCTATCGCACTCCTATTCACGGCTCCCCCCCTTCATTCGGGATCGTTGCACGTGGTGGGTTAATTGCTTGATGGCCGACGTTCGCGTCGTTAATTGGTACATTTTCATAACGTGCGTTGGATGTTGGCGTGCTGATTGCTCGACCATCTGTCGTATCGACCCTGGTGTTGGGAAGAGTGTTCACCTGTGCGCTCCCCGCGTGCTCAATTACTTCGCCTAGGCGAAGTCTCGGCACAAAATATGGAAGGGGAAGTTCTTTGCACCTGTTAATGGACTAGGGACCCGTAAACCATGACTCAAGTAGCTCCCGGCTCACGCGGTTGTCAACTCTTGCGACAATTTCGGCCTCGTCGAATTTGAATGTGTGGCCGGATCTTGTCGAATGAGCCGCAACTTGGGAGCTGGCGTCATTTCTCCGCCCCGCTGCAGCTTGTTCGGCCGTTCTCGTTCGGAGTTGTCTTCCGGTTTCTCCGATGCAGTTGCTTTGTCCGCAATTGCACCAGATCCGATAAACGACTCCAGACATTTCTAGTCGGGCAGTGGGTCTTTTGGTTTCATCAACTGGCGCCTGATGGTTGCCTCCGGTCTGTGTGTAGTTGTGGTGGTTTTGACGATGTTGTTGATGGTGCTGGCGTTGGTGGTGATGGTGGTGGTTGTGGTGTTCGTTGTGATTGTGGTGGTGGTGGTGGTGGTGGTGGTAGTGGTGATTGCGACGGTGGTGGCATTGGTGATTTTGGTGGTGGCCGCCCCACTCGACGGCCTGGTAGGGTGAGTCCGCTCATTCTGGCAGCCTTGAATGTTCGTTGGCTTTTAGACAATCGGAGGGGCAACCAACCGGATTGGTGGACGGCTGTAATGGCTCTGTAGCTGGCATGCAGAAAGGCGGACATTGCTGCCATCAATGAGACCTGGTTCTCCAAACAAAGCCAAGTGGAGGATGTGGGTGACGGCTACACCTTTTTCTGCAGTAGTCCTTTCATTTCAGGGAGACAGGACGCGGATCTTGTCCTTTTTCTTTCTAGAATAACATCCTGCAACAACTGCCTTCTCTGCCACATTATGGAAACAATCGCCTGATAAGCCTCCAAAATCCTCACCAGCGGGGCAAACTTGTCATGATTATGGTCAGCGTCTATGCCACCCTCCTCCCGAGAACCAAAACTGAGGCTGTAAGTGGTATATCCTAGAAGGACCTGCACGCATTTCTGGTGGCCGTGCCGAAGGCGGATAAGTTGGTTGTCCTCGATGACATCAACGTCCGCGTCGGCACAGACCATGTTGCCTGGAGAGGCGTGTTGGGCACAGATGACCTCAACGGCTCCAATGATAGTAGCCTGTTTCTCCTGCGAACCTGCATGGAACACTGTCTCACCCGGTCCAACACCTACATCCGTTTTAAGATGCGAGTGAAGTCCATGCGGATGTGCGGTTGGCGGAGACACTGACAACTGCTGGACTATGTCCTCGTTCGGACGCGAGACCAGCGGGACGTGCTGGTGACGAAGACAATCTCGAGTGCCAATGTATGGACGGAAAATCATCTCGTCATTTCCAAGATGCGAATTAGCCGACAGTCCCACAGGTGACGACAACGCAAGCAACACCCAGGTAGGCTGAATATTGAATTCTTGTCATTGCCTGCAACACATTTTCTTTTCCAGATATGAGGAAGATCTATGGCTAGCCAGCATTTAGGTTATTGCTGCCCATTTTACAAAAGAAACCATGCGTCAATATACTTCTCAGACATTCAAGACATCACATTCTTTCCTCGCAATATATTTTAATTTCCGCCCACCTTACGCTTTAACCGAAGAACTGATAGATGACAGTAGCATGTTTTATTCGACAAATAGGGCAATCAGGCATACGTACATGCATCATAAATTTGCAAACATAACGCTACCTATGTACAGGCATAGTATGGAATGCTTCTA